TTTTCTATCTTCTTAGAGATAAACAGATAGAGCCACTAGGCCAAGTTATAAATAAGATCAGATCTGTGAAGAGGCAACCCTGTTCATGGAAAGAATGCATAAATGCTAAAAAAAAAAAAAGAAGCTATTTTTAAAGCTCTTGTACATTAATTAATACAAAATAGATTAATGCCATACTGTGGAAGTCTTATTATTTGTTGTTGATGACTTTGTAAAATGGTGTGAAGAGTTATATCTACACCTAAATGTATCCAAAACAAAGGATATGATTATTGGCTTTCAAAAAAGTGTGCCTCAGAATGACGTCACATATAAAGGGGCAGGCAGTTGAGTGTGTGGACTCCTATAAGTATCTTGGAACACCCTAAATTGAGCTTTGACGATAATTGTACTGCTCTGTGTAAAAGATGCATCAGTGCCTTCATTGTCGAGGACGTTCTCCTTCTGCCCTGTAGACAGAACCAGGATGACATTGTTTTATAAAACATTTATGGAATCCGTTTAAACTTTTTCACTAGTTTCATAGTTTGGGTAGCCTGATTCTGAGGTTGACCTCACAGCATTATTAGTCATTCCCTCGACGGTAGGTGGGTATTTTTTTAATTTTTATTCAACCAATCATGTGACGTATGTAATGTGCCAGAACGCTCAGTGGTGTCCACGTACTTGCTGACACAATAGCAAACAAAGCAGAGAGTGAAGAAATCTGTTAATGATCATTGTCGTTTCTGCGAGGTGAACTTGAGAACTAAAGTGCAATAAAAACTGTGAAGTTTGTAGGTGGCGCCAGCCTGGTTATGGTTTGGGAGTATCTCTGCTAAAAACAAGAACTTTTGGAATCAGTTGGTTAAATAGGTGATTAAGGTGACTGTCCATCCTCAGAGCAGTCTGGACTCTCTGTTCTCAGGACAGCTACAGAGGATGTCCCAGAGTATTACAAATATTATTTTTAAACATAAAAATAGCTGCTATCGTACTTATGAATAAATTGTCATCTATGTATCTATCAATTTTAGTACCCTGTCTTGGAAAAATCGTGTGTTTTTTATGTATTTAATATTTATTGTTCGCCAAAAGTGATGGATGAATTTAATTATTGACGGAACAAAGCCATTCAACACTGGAGCACTGCAACACTTTATTTTGTAATTGTGTTTTATACGTGTTTATTGTACATAATGTGGATGAATGAAATGTGAAATGAGGGACCTGCCTCTCAAATCTGTAAAACAAATTTACCTATGGGTACGAATAAAGCAACCTAACCTAACTTATCTTATCTCTGTTGAGCAAGACATTTCTCTCACTCTGCGTCAGTGAGCTGCGATGTGTGATTATTGGTCATGGCTCCGTAGTGACAGCCTTTTTCCATCATCCTGCCGCTGGACAGCTGTGGCTACATTTCTCCTTACACACTAGAAACTATTTGAATGAGAAAGGGTTAAAGTTTGTCCACTTAGCAGCCCAAACATAATGGGTTTGTGTGATGTGTTGCGCACTGGAACAGAATGAGCTGTACAGGCTTTTAGAGCCGTGTAGAACATGAAGAGACACAGGGGAGCGGATGGTCCGTGCTGGGGCCTATTGTTGAACCCCTCGCTGGGCTCTGATCCCACTGGGACGCCTGAAGAGAAGTAAATGGACAAGAGCCAGTAGGGCCTCACTGCCTGCAAATGTCACGGCCCGTTGCGAGAAGGATTCTTATGAGAGCAAAGTGACTCTATGCAAGATATTAATGCAGTGGCCATTTAGGCTTTTGTCAGGGACCGTGTGTGGTGCCACTAGTTAAAAGCCTTGAATCATAGTTGGGCTGTTTTTTTTCAGTGATTATTACTGAAAAGCCACTTACAATGTCATACACTGGATAATTTCTATATATATCTTAGTAACACTGCTAGATTAATCGCAATTTGAATGGACGCGAAGGCTGCATGTCTTTTTGCGGATAAAAACTGCTAACCCGTCGTTTAGATCTATTCAAATATGTCATGAAAGGATATTCTTAAATTAGTTTTTCAGTTCATAATTCATATATTTCAATCATCTTTGTTAATTCTTCTGGACAAAATGTGAACTCTGGACAAAATCTTATTAACAAAACATATATTTCAAATCAAGTTGTTCATTAACGATCATTAAATTTATGAATGATTGTATAATGTGAGGATTTTTTACTGAACTACTTTGAATGGGATGAAATTCAAAGCCTAGGCTGTGAGTATTCTCATGTTTTTCCCACAAAACTTGTTGCCACTTGGGAAATTTGCAACCAAATCTGCAGGGTGTTCATTCTTGAGTCCTCAGTATTGGCAGGAAATATGGTCTGTTTAGCTTTTCCAATAAAGTAAAAGAGAACTTACCATACCAACCACAGCACGCCGTTAACAAACATGCCACAACCAGTTATTTGCTCACATCTTACGAATTAAATTTAACTAGGGATGTAACGATAACCTAAATATCGTGATATTGTGTCGTCAAAGTTCTCACAATAATATTGTGGACCATCACAGTATATCGAATTACAAGTCTCTTTGCTTAAATTAAGAGTTATGGTGCAGTAATAAAAATATATAAAAAAGACAGAGAACTACTACTACTACTACGAGACCATGATCCTTTGCTCCATTTCAGCGTAAACTACATGAAGAAATAACAGTTCTAAGCACTTTTAAGTCTTAGTTCTTTGGATTAAGTCTTGTCAATGCATTTTAAGAGGAAAAAGTAGCGTATTCACAGTTTTTTTAGCCTTCACAAAATATGGCAATAAATATCGTATCGTGAGATGTACATCGTGTAAATATTGTACCGTGAGATTTTGATATTGTTACATCCATAATCGTGAGCCTCCCCACTATATCGTGAGCTTTCCCATGATATCGCAATAAACATCGTACCGTGAGGTTCATACCGTGACTTTTAAAAAAATTTTTTTTTTTTTTTTTTTTTACAAATGGTCTATTTTTGATTTGACTGGTGTATCATTAGTTCCCCTGGTTCTCTGATCAAGAATGTCTAGGAAGAAAATAATTGAGACACACACACCGCTGCCCATGTCATACCACAGTGCTCATCCCCATGTTGAGCTTATTATCGATTCTGCTCATTGGCTTTGACAAAATAAACCCGGCAAACACATCCCCCCCATTCCCCCATGCGTCGTGTCTGGCGGTTTGAATAGCTTTTCTGTTATTAACTTGGTAAACATGTCGGCGCACATCATTACTAGAGAATGTCTTGTCTAAATGAGACACTGAGGTCTTTTAGATGTAGTCAGAGTGAGGCCTGATATGCATCTTGTTGGGTTTAGTGGGTAATGAGATCTAAACATTCCCTGGAGTGGATATGAAAGTCCCTCTGTGTGCTTTGGTGCAATGCTCTTCAATTCAGTCTTATCTGTCATCATTTCAGAATGATGAGAAAAGATGACCATTGCCATAGCAATTAACAATTTACAATTTAAAACTAAATATCTTCCCAAAATGTCCTTGAAATGTTGCATATTGATATTTTGCTGTGGGGGTGTTCTTCATGTATGTTTATGTTGAAATTAGGGATATAACAATAATTAAAATATCGTGATATTGTATTGTCTCACAACAAAGTCTCACAATAATATCGTCGACCATCATAATATATTGAATTACAAGTTTCTTTGCTTAAATTAATATTTATGGTGCAGCAATAGCTAAAAAAAAAAAAAAACAGAGGGAACTACATAGACCATGATCCTTTGCTCCGTTTCAGTGCAGACTACATGAAGATATAACTTTGAAATCGTAGTTAATTGGATTAAGTCTCATCAAGACATCCATAAAATCTCGCAATAAATATCGTACCTAGTGTATATTGTGAAAATCGTACAGAGAGATTTGGATATCGTTGCATCCCAAGTTGAAATGTCTACTGTAATCTATGTCATAATGTACACATTAGCAAAACCGCCTGATATGTTTTGGTGGTGTATTGGCAGTGTAAGTATTGTCTAACAACTCAATAAAAATACAAAATGCAGGCAGACGATACATTTTTAGGAACCTGTGATCAGTGCAAGCATTCATGGCTCCATTTATGTGTTTAATTTTCAACAAAAAGGTGAAAGCATCATATTTTTCGGACTATAAGTCGCTCTGGCCAAAAAATGCGTAATGAAGAAGAAAAATATAAATATAAGTCACACCGGACTATAAGTCACACTTTTTGGGGGAAATACATTTTATAAAATTAGAGACCAGGAACCAACATCTAAACTTTCTTTCTGCTGCTCGATAAACATTTTCAGCTGCATATTTCACTACTTGCAGCTTGTCATCAGCAAATTATGATTTTAATTTTTGTGTTCAGTCTTCTCAGTCGTCTTTATAAGTTTGTTTAAAGTTAAATTTTTCAGTGGTGCAGAAGTAATGGTGTGATTGACTGACATGACATAAACAGGACAGAGGCTCTTTCTGTAGGAGACATGCGCAGTAGAGCCAATTGACAGAGATACAGGAGTAATAGGAGTAGCAGATTCTAACACAAACCTAGAGCCTCTCATGGCTGTCAGTGTGAAAATTTTAATATATAAGTCGTATTACCACCCAAACCATGAAAAAAAGTGCGACTTATAGTCTGAAAAATATGGTAACTGAAAAATGTAATGTAATGTTATTTTCGAGGGACTTGTTTAACAGCACAAATCAGATCACTTTTCTAGTAGTCTGTTCTTTCTGGTCAGATTGTGTTAAAACACAGAGATTCAGCTTAAAGTCTAACATGAGTAACAGAGCTTCAGACAGAGCAGAGCCTCCAGTTATCAAGTCCCCCCAAGGAAATGTGGACATCTGCTGCACTATCAGTAACAGGAAGCTGATATCCACGAAGACGCAAATGGGATGTTAAATTATTCCTTTAAAAATGCAGTTATATTTTTTGTTCCAATTATTCCAGAGCAGGTCCCACCGGAGAACAGGCCCCACACAAGTTATTCGTGTCCTGACTTTCTTTTGTTCATGCTCCAGGGCTGCCCGTGGGACGGACGGTGACAGTGCAGTGGCTCTCCCAAAGCCGGACCAAGAGAGATGCTGAGCCCTCCACACAGGTCAGTTCAGTCACGCAGCTCATAGTGTGACATCCACTTGGGAATAGGAGCCTTGAGCAATGCTGCTGCAAGCTCATGTGTTTTATAAGCTTATATGGAGGCTGTTGTAGTCCATTTTCCCCGATTCTGTCATAGACCTTATATGGTAGAAGGTTTGTTTTGAGTCATCCCTAATATTTCTGAATGCATTACATGTCGTCAAACCGCTGGGACCTTTTACGGTGAACTGGGTGATATGGCAATAAAAATCTAATAGTGATCTCATCCTTTTAATGATGCTGTTTTGGTGATATCACTTTGTTCTGTTTAATGCAGCTCATTTTCCAACACACTTCTCCTGTTGGTCAGTGTACCGTGTGAGTGACAGGTGGGTTTAAACAAGCACAGTGGAGAGTGAACTGTATAAAGCAGAAGATGACTTGAGTTAACTCTACAGCAAATACATATACTAACTAAGGCTACGTTCAGACTGGAGCCTGAAGTGACCCAAATCAGATTTTTTTTCGCCCCTGTGCAACATGTATCTGATCTTTTAATGACAGTCTGAATGATACAGATCAGATTTTTTCCAAATGCGACTCAGGACACTTGGATATGTGCTCCTAAAACCGATACATATCCGATCTTTTGACATGCGACTTCAGTCTGAATGGCCAGGTCATATTCATCCCACCTACATGTCAGGCTCCGAGTCTAGTCAACGGGGGGAAAGCGACGTTAGCAAGTTAATTAATATTTGGGATTTTTAATTAGCTGGATTCAGGCCAAATTGGAAGGGTTTTATCGGAACCGGCCGTTTTTTTAAATGATTGCCAAAGAAATGACCAAGCGGGGCTACAGGCATTGCTGGCTTCAGTTTCAACAAAAAATAAAGAGCCTGCGAGCAAAATATAAGGAGGCTAAAGACTCAAACAAATGAAGTGGCCGTGGACGTGTAACCAGTTTATTTTACGAAGAACTGGACCGTATTTTGTGAGACAAGCTGAGCATTTAGGCGACTTCCGTAAACACTGAGCACGCTCCCTGCCTGTGACGTTGTCGTGTCCTCCAATGCACATGCAGGACATTTTTGGGGCGTTTAAAGTTCACACTGGAGATCACATACAAGTCACATTTAATTGGAAATGTGAACGACCTCGCAAAAAAATCAGATTTCACAAAACAATTGACCTTAAGCCTTGCAGTCTGAACGCAACCTAAATGAATCATGATTAAAACAACATTGTGATTTGGCTTTAAGAAAATAATGTTTTGTTACATATCACCCACACCTACTTTTACTTATTACCTATAAAGTTTTTACTATTGCCCCCATAACTATAGTGAGAGGAACTGGAAACTGGGGACATATTTTTTACAGGACTATTTTTGCTCTTGCTTTGAACTTTTCAGGCAGCACAGGAAGCATTTGCTGAAGAGGTTGCATTGTAAAAGACATAATGCAAGTAAGCACCATCATGCCCTCCAGCAATTATAAATATTACATTTTACCACACAATTTGGCCAGCTAAACTCTAAATGCATATTTTTTATTGGCAGTGTGCTTCACTAAACTTTTGATGTTTAACGTTTTTTGATAAGCTGTTCTGACAATGTTGGAAGATAAAATACTTAGTCTCAGTGGTGCTTTGGGGCTCAGACTTTTGTAGTGTGTTTAAATGTCACTGGTTCTCTTGTGGTTTGTATGCATCTCATGTTGAAATCTACTTGTGAAACGGATGTTAAGGAAGAGAAAAGTTCAAATGTCTTCTCTGTATTGAACAAGCTTGTAAAAAGAGTGTAAACCGTGTTATGTGTGGCTCATGGGTGACTTCTGACTGGAGCGTCCCAGGTCATGCCCTGCACTTGGCCTTGTGCTCTGTGCTCTCTCTGTGCCTTGAGGGGGACTGCTGTTATTGATATACAGTGTGGCACTGGCCCCAGCCTGAACCCACTGCCTCCTCTGCTGCGGCACACTGACTGGAGGAAGAGTGTGCCCTTTACACAGATGATGAGGAAGGAAATGGCTCTTCATAGCCACTGCTAATACTGCAGCATATTGCTCAAAGATTAACAGTGCAGCCAATGGAAATGCCCTCCTTAAGCTACTTTCAAACCGCAAGCCTTATTTCATATCAAACATGTATCAAGATAATATTCATCAGTTTAATGTCCTTTAATGGAATGAGGAAGAGGAGCTGAATTGCTAGAAAGCTGACAGGCTTTCATTACAGCAAACCCGAGGTGATGTGAGCCGGGTAGACCCTGTGTGTTGCATCATCACCCTGTGCCAATTTGTGAGCTTGGTATAAAAATTTCTCATGGCCCGACAATGTGGCATTCAGAAACACTTAACATATCACAATAAGCTGTTGCTTTAGTCAATAGTGACAATAACAATCCTTCCTGATGGCCACTTTGAAAGAGTTTACTGCAATTACAAACTAGTGTAAGAATGCAACACAGTTTGTCACCACCAGTCCGGGCTCCTAATGACAAATGTAGTGACTTAGAAAGTATTAGTGACGCATGAGTTTGAGCTGTGTGGACTGAGTGGCAGCTCGCTGTGTGGGTGCTCTCTGCGGCGCTGAGTGCAGTTGGCTGGGGGAGGCTGGGGGAGGCTGGGGCAGGCCGGGGGAGCATGGCAGTGTGGCTCTGTGCCTTGCTGTACAGATGTCCGCGCTTGGATAGCTCTGATGGTGGTTTGGCAGGAGCAGAGGAGCTGGGCCGGGCTTAGAGGCAGTGACAGGGAAACAGGAGCAGAGCCAAAGCCCTGCTCCTCAGAGCAGCCATCCCTCTTATCTAGCAGCTCCAGTCAACAAGAACAACCAGAACACAGAACGCAGCGCATAGCAACACTGCAAGATGTGAATCTGACCTCTGTACAGCAACAGTTTCCTCCATCTTCATGTATACAATGAAATACTGTAAGATTTAAATGGAGGAACATAAGCGCTACATATCTATCTATCTATCTATATATATATATGAGGAGTGTGTGTTTTTAATATACATACATATTATATATATATATATATATATATATATATATATATATATATATATATATATATATAGCTATATGAATGAGGGTGAGAGAGACCAACTATCGTGGAAGGCGAGAAACACTTTTAAAAAAAAAATATATACATACTGTATATAGCACAGTACAATTCACAGGATATCTGCTGTGTATATGGCAATATAATATACATTCTATAGTGTATATTTTGATGTCTAACAGTTTTTCAGTATGCAGTAGTCAGATATAGCTGTTTGGTTTGGAAATCGTGGTAGTTGATTATTGTTTACTCTGGAGTTCTTAATAACTGAAGTGCCTTGCTGTGAGGATGTGCTGCCCGCACTACAAACCTTCGGTGATATTTAAAATGCTCCGTGAAGCCTGTGAGTGTAGTGGGAGCTGTCAGGCTGGTCATCCTCAGGCTGATGATGTGCTGACAGGTGGGGGTGGCTCCCCCGCCGCTGCGCTGTAATTGACGGTGATCACTTGAGGCACCAGCCGTCTCCTGCGCATCTTAATGCTGATGCTAATGGAAAGAGGAGCCCTGCTGAGCAACAGGAGTGTGCGTTTATCTGCGCTAACGGACATGCTAACGAGTGGATATTGATGCCGGCGCAACCGCTGTCAGCGGCACAGGAAATGAAGCAGGTCAGCCTCAGAGCGGCACAGATCACTGGGGTTACGGAGCAATGAGAAGGAAAAGTGAGGATTACAGATGTCTTACACAGCACCACTGACCTCTTGCTCCACACGCACCGCAGATCTGAGTCTAAAGAGGATGTCTCACAGTTTGACCCTGCGCCCTCTCAGCCCTTCTCTGCTTCTCCCGGTCCCTGTTTGCCCCTGCCTGTGGCTCTCTGCCCCATTCTGTCCCTCTCTTCCCTCCCTGTCTCTCTGTCCCTGTTTATCCCTGTTCATCCCTGTGTGTCCCTGTTTGTCCCTCCCTGTCCCTCTCTCAGTCCTTTCTGGGGGGTGGCTTGGGAAAAGCTGCTGCTGTCACCGCCTTACTCTGTCCCCACAAACTGTCCTTCAAAAGCGGCTGTTTATCGGCCAAACCAGGCTAACCTTGACTGAGTCGTGAAGGGCTGCAGAGCTGTGCTTGTATGTACGTGATGATTGATGAGAGGAGAGTGTGGAGAAGAGGTCCTAAACTGCCCACACTGTGAAGTGTTTAGCGCTGTGACAGTGCTGGGAACATGTCTATACTTAAAGTTGATTATATTGGCCACTTTGTATTCATGAGCCTGTTTAGAATATGCATGAGAGGATTTGCACTTGATGCTGTGATGATTGTCTACTCTAAAGACCATTTCTTTTTACTCATTTAGATAATAGTATAATTACTCTTTTTCATTGACTTCAAATGACTCCCATGTCCATGACCCTTAATTTAGCACTGTAGAAAGTCATTTTGAAAATCATAAAATTAGCCTCTTCATGTTTTTTTGAAAATCTATTAACAGAAGGTTAAAGTATAGGGAGATTTACTGACCCATGTTCCCAGTATTGACTCATAAAATGTATTGGAATCGTCAAGACTGAGCGCATTAGGTGCTACATTGCTATTAATTCCACAGAATAGCATTGATTACTCCGCAGAGAATGAAATAGAGGTGAGCGAATCCTCACTTTCCACTCACTGCACTCTCTGTGTGTGGCTTCAGGTGCTTTGTCCTTTTAATAACACACATTTATGAAAGAGCTTTGGGTGTGGATGGAAGCCTTGACCCTGACGACCTCTCAAACCTGCATGCACAAAGGTGTGGTGATGACAGCCCTGCCACCCTGACCTCCCACATGGGGTCACGATGCACTAATTAAATATTGTGTAAAATAATGTACCTCAGTCCCCCGTGTTATTGTATGGCTCACCTTAGCAGCACGCGGCGTGGAGGGTCAGTGTCGCGCGCTTCAGCTGTCACCATTGGCACTGTCCACTTCACGGCTTCTCCTGCTGGGCGTCCTTCAAACATTTGTCAGTTCAAAGCTCTCTCCACAG